TTAAATTACATGTGTTCACTCCATTTCGTTTAAGGTGATGAAGGACTGGTATTAGAATTTTCCTCCAATGATAAAAGTAGCGCTAACGCTTCAATTGAATTTCATATAGCCTTGCTTACCAAAATGTTTTTCTCATTCGGGGTGGACTGCAGATTCGATGAGCTTGATATGTTAACTACTTAGCCACATTGCCACGAGTGCCCTTGGTTCACAGGGCAGACATCAGCTCTACTCATATAATTGTGGGAAAATTCCACTACCAGTCCTTCATCACCTTAAACAAATTAGGGTGAATACATCTCATATAACTGATTTACTAGTAATCTCGAAACTCTACTTAAATATAAAATGTTGAAGTCTAGAAATTAATACAGCAGCTCTTGCTGAGTATATACGCTAGCTCTAGATATAAAAACGGCGATTTGCTCCTAAATTAAGAGTATGCTTGCAATTTATAACAATGAAACTAAGACACTCTACTTGGTCTCTATCTGGATACGAAGGATTATCGTCGGAACTTATCCAGGAGCAGGGTTCCGGTCGTTTTACTATATTTGGCCCGAATTCGGAATGGAGATCATCTTTGCGATCGTCAAAAGAAGCTAAAGCTTCTTCGATATCCCTTTTTCTGTGTCGCCTATGCAGCCGAATCGTCATCCTACATCGTTCTGGCTCATTATCCTTGGTAATTTTGATACGCTGATGCTTTGTAGGGTGACTCAGGCGGCTTTGATCACTGCTTCCAGAGTTCGAGCTACCATTTGAACTGTTCATAGTATCAACGCGACCACGAGCTGGACGCTCTCGGCTTTCACGTCTGCGCCGAATGGGTTCGCGACTCCGAGTCCGATCGCAACGTCGCCTGGTTCTGGTCTGGCTCAATAAAGATGGCGTTCTTCGTGAATGACGTCTCATCTCAAAAATCTTCTCATCCTCATCGCTTCTCTCATAACTAGAATAGTCTCGACGAAAGTGTCGACGTCGGGAGCGACGGTGCCGTTGGCCATGATGTCTTGATGAGGTAGATAAGGCAAGCTGGAATCGCGAGGACGAAATATCAGTGGCAAAGCGATGCGCATGCATTTGTTCGGCATGGCTGGGAGAAGGTTCACGTTGATAGATCGCACCACGGTTATGACGCAGGGCATCGTGCAACTGGCTAACAGACTCACCAGGGTTTAAAAAAACGTGAAGAAAGTTGCAATTGGCGTCACCCTTGGAGCAGCGCTGACGATAGCATAGTCCTTGATTGAACAAGTAAACAAGATGAAGAGGCAAATAAATTATGAATTCTAGGAAAAGTGAGGGGATAACACAGCAATATGTAGTAAAATAAAAAATATGCGTAGGTAGGCAGAAAGCTAAGTATCTAATAATAATTTAAGCTGCTAAACTTCATTTAACTCGATAAACAGAGATGCCTCTAATACAGAAATGTACCAAATTATCATTAGCCCGATATAAGCATGAGTCCTGAGATGGGCACAAGGGATAGTCAAAGATAATATCACAAAAGTAAGGTCCGAAAAAAATGGCAAGGTTTCATGATGCAACTGTGAAGCGGACTGATGGAACATAAGATAATTTAGGTGGATTAATAGATAAAACGAGATCTTTGAGATAAGGGAGAGGAGCAGTGACAAAAAAATCAGAAAAGCGAAGAGGAAAAAATCTTAGAAAATGTCTTTAGCATTTAATAATGATGCATCTTGGCTCACAAACTAGATTACCTAGTATTTTTTATCATAAAACCAATGAGTATATAATAAGAAAATCACAATGAAATTAAATAATATGAGACACAGTGCCTTCTAAATAAACATATGTATTAATGGAGGCCAGCTCTGCCTTTAAAGTCATGTTTGTGTTGGATAATCTACGAGGCGATGCTTTCGCCTTCCACCCTCCCCTTCCAAGACGCAGATGTCGTCAGGGCTGCAAATGAAACCTATAAAAGTTGAAATATCAAACAATCTTGGTATAAAAATTACCTATTTTATACAATTCAGAGGAAACTCCATAGAAAAAATCCAAGCTTGAATAGGAAATTTATTCGAACCAGGTGGCTTAA